ATTGCATTCTCATCATCAGTATATCCTGGATCTACCAGGTGATCAGCTTTAATCCTTAATGAAAAATTGGACTATGCCCTAAATGAGGAGAGTGCAGTTGATAGCATCCAGCCATACATTTTTCAATGAACTAAACAGGGCCACTTGAAGAAATATTTTTTGCATACCTACTATGAGCATCATCAGGAAAATATGTTCACTATCAAAATATTGACTATAAAGAGAAGCTCACATAATCTAACTTTACTCCCTAATGGTTGAGTTTTATTTCCACATAATCACACTTGAATACTCAAGACATCAGGAATTAATTTTAGAATGGTTTAATGATTCAAGGACACTAGAGCTAATTTTCACGGGCTTTGGGCATTAATGGACATTGTCTTAGTTTGGGTTCCCCAGAAGCTAACCCTGAAACAAGAAATCAAGTAAGGCAGTTTATTTGGGAGGTTAAGGCAAGAAAAGGAGGAACAGGGAAGTAACAGAGAAAGGAGAAAAAGTCTAAAAGGGTGTAGAATTAAGCAGGCCACAGATGTGGGCAACTGGAGCACAATCCTATTGGAGAAGCTCGGGAATCTGTTTAAAACACACTCACCCCAGAGTGATCCCACCCATGGGGAAGGAACTGGGTTTCAAACACCAACTCCCATCTGTCATTTATTGTGAGCTGCTCCCAAGGGGTGTTAATTCCCCAGCACTTCTGGCCTACCAAGCAGATGGCAAAATGGGCTCTCTGACAAAGAAGTGAAGGTGCTGGCATTTGAAGTCAGGCAGGTGTGCTCTCAAGAGATAAAGGCTAGAAGGATATGAACAGGTGCCAACCACATCTGGTACAGAATAACTTGAAACAACTGACCAAGAATTTCTTTGCGTGTATGATCTATGAGTGCACTTTGGAAGTGTACATTAAAAAAAAAGGTCCAAACATCAGCTAAATCTGCCCATCTCTAATCTATAATTGATCAGTAGCACATTAACATCCAATTGTGGGAAATGCAAATCAAATGTTTAATCAGTACCATGGAGTTGCCATCCCATTTTACTACCTGGTTTTTACTTCGGGGAATAAACTATTCAAATCTATAAAAAGAGACATATCTCTGTCTCCTTCAAGCCAGTGTGGCCACTGTGGTTCAGACCATTTTACAAGCGAACTAAGCATCCCATTAGTGTTTTATTCCATCTCCCCATCCCCACTCTCCATCCTTCCCCTCCAGCTACCACATTGCAAGCAGCGTGATCTTCCCAAGACACAGTTCTGATTATCTCATCCCCTGTCTAAAACCTTTCCTTGGTTCTCAGTTCCCTAAAGGACAAAATCTGCCTTCCAAGTTTAGCATACAAGGCCTTGTATTGGTTTTTCACCTTTCTTGCCTCTTTAACTTTCAGATTTCCCACTGGCCTGAATTACTTCCTTTCCCCTGACATTCTTTTGTGCCTGCAAGATTTTGCCCATGCTGTATCTTCCACTGGATACACTTTCCATACCCCTGTCCAAGCCTCTCCCCGTGATTAACTCCTCCACATTCTGAGGCCCTAGTTTAGAAGTCATTTCCTCCAAGAAGTCTTCTCTTTATATACCTTGCACTTCTCTCATCTTAGAAATGAAAACAGATTTTGTAATTGCCCCATTGTTAGTCTTTAGCTCCCATAATTTGAATGTTATGTGAGGGAGGAGCCATATCTGTCTTGCTCACATGGCTTGAGTTAGGATTTACTTATAGTTACTAGGAAATTTCGTTGACTGGATAAATGAGAAGATCCTACCTCATCTGACACATTTCCTTTCCAAACTTCATATTACGTTGTACTTCCCCCACTGCTGCACACATGCTTATGCACATGCACCTATATCTCACCCTCACCAACACATACACACACACACACCCTACACACCAACATACTAGACCAACTTTCTATACTCCACCGTACCCTTTAGCTACTTCTGTCATAGCAATATGACACTTCACTTTGTGGTCCACCTATGGTAACCATTCAGATAATCTGCCGAAAGTCTCTCCACAAGACTGTAAGTTTCTTGAGGTAAAATTATGTCTTAATGTTTCTTTATCTCCCAGGGTTTGCATAATGCCAGTCATGATATAGGCACATAATACATGATGAATAACATGAATCATTGCTATAATTGGCGAGGAAGTGCAGAAGACTTTCTCTACATGACCTCTAATCTTCAACAAAGCAAACAGGCTGTGCCCTCCCATCTGTCCAGTGTCTGAAACCCATCACAGACTTCACATCATCAACCAAATCAGTCCACAATAAAGAATCACCTAGAGTGACATTTTTGAAGCAATCTTTTGGAAACTACTTGTCAATTACAACAGGGCTGGTATGCTTAGGGAAGGTAGACAAAATGTCCTGAGAGCTCTATGGATGCACTCCACCTCTGCAGTAGAGAGCAAAATTGGGCTGCAGGAAAGCTGAATCTTGCATAATAGCATCAGCGTTTTGTAATGGAAAAGCCTTGTAGTGGTGAAGGGGTAGGTATGGTTGGAAGTGGTCAGATATGGAAGGAGTTTTTCCAAATTCTTTTCCTGGAGGCCTTCATGGTGACAAAATAGTGCCTCTTGCAATATTCTAAATTCTGTTGGCAGTGATGGAGCTGTAAACCAAAGGACTGTCATCTAAGGTCCACTGTGATGCATTAACAGATGAAGTCACAATCACTGCACAATCATTGCTTTATGTTCCTGTGGAATTAACAGTGCTTTTTTGTACTCTCAAAAGTGTTCTGGTTTGTTTAATAAATTTTATTTGTTGTACTACCCATCATCAGTATTAATAGTAGGATCAGAATCTTCAAATAGAATGACTTTGGATGGTAGCTACACAGGAATTTTTGTGCTAGTTACACAGGAATTTTTGTGCTAGTTTCTAGATTTCTGTATTTTTTAAACTTTTCTTCTAAAAAATCCAATACACATGAAAAATTCAAACTGCCCTATAATTAAGCATAGCACATAATTTTTTTTAATTTTATTTTATTATTCATATGTGCATACAAGGCTTGGGTCATTTCTCCCCCCTGCCCCCACCCCCTCCCTTACCACCCACTCTGCCCCCTCCCTCCCCCCCCACCCCCTCAATACCCAGCAGAAACTATTTTGTCCTTATTTCTAATTTTGTTGTAGAGAGAGTATAAGCCATAATAGGAAGGAACAAGGGTTTTTGCTGGTTGAGATAAGGATAGCTATACAGGGAGTTGACTCACATTAATTTCCTGTGCGTGTGTGTTACCTTCTAGGTTAATTCTTTTTGATCTCACCTTTTCTCTACACATAATTATTTCAGTCCTGAATCACCTACCTAAACTGTTTTCTCTGCTCTTACACTTTTTTAGATTATAGTCTAACAATATCTATTGTCTAATGAGAGCAGCCATTTGAAGCATGTAAGCAATAGGACCAAATTCAATGTCATCTGTATTTAAGATGTAAATGATATGCATGTAGCACAGTAGCCTTTGGGTACTGAAGTATCATTCAATGTCAAAAGAGAAAATAAAATCAGCAAGAAGGTAAACACTAAAGGTTTAGTCAGCACATCTTTGTTGAGCTTATTCTGTGTGCCAAACACTATTCTAGGTGCATGAGATACAGTACTAAATGAAACAAAGTCCCTGCCCTCCTAGGACACAAATATTCTAGTGTTAAACTGCCTTTGCAGAAAGATGATACCAAAAGTCCTACAGCACCTACAACTGCAACCTGATGTTTTACAAGTCCCCAAGCTGCCAGCCCCCTTTTAAAAACCAATACGTCTGCAAAATTGTTCTTTTTTTGCACACACATGCGTGTGTGTGTGTGTGTGTGTTACGTACATGACACAAAGTATGCTGTTTGGACTGGTGAAAGTCTTATTTCATCTCTGTTTTCTTTAGTTCCAGCTGATTGAGCATGCTTGCCATTGGTAATGGGGTTGTGGCTTCTCCAAGGTTTCTCTTGTAAATATCTATCATGCCCTGGCCTTCAGCATTCAGTCTGACTTAGAATACTGCTGCTTACCCTCGGCTGCTTTTTCATGTTTGACCCCTTGACTCTACTATATCAGTACCAACTCCTGCTATGGGTGACCATACTTAAGCCTAATATCAAAAAGCAAATTTATCAATATCCAAATGTCCAAAGTAGAGAGACTAAGAAATAAAGTCTTTACTTTGCCAAAGGAATTCCCACTAGGGACAATCTTCTAAGCCTAAAATTTAAATCTGGGCTGATCAACTGACTAAATTCATGACCTTGGGCAGGTTATTTAAGCTCCTTGAAACTCAATTTCCTCACATGCAAATGGAGATATTAATATCTACCTCCCTGAGTTGGTATGAGAATGAAACGAGACAATAGATGTAGCATTCTTTGCACAATGTTAAACATTTAGTAGGCACTTAATACCTTTTAGATTTCTTCTTTTACACTAGCCATCTATGCCTACCTAGTCTGGAGTCCTTTAGTTAACATGAAGAGCAGTCTAACTAGGGAGCTCATTTGAAGAACATGGGATCATTTCCAGGATGAGAGTTTATACCAGAATTAGAGAGTCCAACTTTTAAACACGTGATATCCAGCTATTCTCTTAAAATATTTATACTGATGGATGCTAATAATTCCACTTTCCCCTTAATCTCTTGGCAGAAATTTTTCACCTTCACATTTCATTGAATATACTTTTCTAGAACAACTGAGAAAATTCCATTGTTCAAAGGAAAAAGATTGGGAAGGAGTGCGACAAAACAGAAGATAGAAATGGGGTATTCTGATCGTTCATTTTGGTTTTGCTTTGAAACATTTACTGGGTAGCACTAGTGTATCGGACACTGTACTGAGAAGTTTACATTTGATTTCATATTTATCCTCCAGTAGTCCTGATGAGATAGGTACTACTGTTGTCCCAACTTTACATATGAGGAAATGGAACTACACATGTACTAATGCCAAAGCTGAGATTTGAGCCCAGGCAGTCTGTCTCCACAAAGGCGAACCATGCCATTAATATCAGCCCCTCCTGGAATGGTCAAGGCCTTAGAAAACCGAATCATGATGATACTACCCTTTACCGTTTTCTCTGTCAGACCTGTTTTCAGATCAGGAAAAGGAGAGCAGTGGCTTAAGGACAGTAGACTTACAATGAGAACCTTGAGAACAGAGAAAAAATTATTTACAGAAAAATATGCCACCAGGTAAAATGCTGTACCACAGACTCATTATTGTAAGACTGGTGGTCCATCATTCAGGAGAGCAATTCTCATGTTATTAGGTGGAACTTTTCCCTTTTTATTCTTTCATCAGCCATAATTTTCATTGTTCTGAAGCTCTTTGCCCATGAAAAACTTAGCAAATTCTTTCAAGGAGAAAAACATGCTAAAGAGCTCATCTGATAGAAACACTTATTCATAATTTTTAAGTTTAATATCATCATTAATTATTTACAGTTTCAAATATACCAAGGCTGTGGGTTATATAGTGTTTTGATCTTCTTCATAGGCAGAAACTACTGAAAGCATGAGTTCTGATTACACTTGGGGGCTCAGGCCCACAACATGTGCAACCTTGCTTTTGCTTGTGGAAAAGGAAACAAGTGGATGGATATAACGTGTAAGATTTTTCCTAGCCTGGAACTGTTGTTGTTTTCCTAAAATCCTGCCCTGGTACTATCGAACTGCCTCTTGAAAACCAAGATACACCCCATAGGGAAGCTCTGATACACCCCAAAGGGAAGCTCTGGTTCTGACAAGGCTTGGTAGGGGGAAGAGAAAGAACAAACACTTGCTGAAGCTCAATTAGGTGAACCACATAAAATGCCACTACTAAACACTTTTGAACATATACAAAGAGCAATTTCATATGGTTTAACCTAATACTAAATGCCAGGCCAGACACCTTTTATTTGTTATCATAATGGCCCTATGAGGTAAGGATTGTCTCCATTTTATAGATAATGAAAGTGAACTAAATGCCTAAAGTCATTTTCTAAAGATTCTGGGAGAAAGTACTCCATGCAAGTAGATTAGAAGACAATCCCAGGAAGCACTGGAAAGAGAGACACAATGTGAGGCAGAGAAGGGAAACAGTTAGTTATAAGGACCCTTTGGGCAACTAGAGCCCAATCCTTCTGGAAAACACATGCTAGAACACATCCTGCAGGGCTATCCCACCTAGGGAGATATGTGAATGGAGCTGTTTATATTCAAACTATCTTTTAGCCATAGTCCAGGCTGCTTGGATTGAGACAGTATGTTAATGCCCTATTATTTCCACATTGGGCTGGAAGAAGGACTGGTATGCACTGAAGTAGTAGGGTGTAATAGATGTGGCAGAGCCCAGCTATGTCTGCTACATTTCCACTGCTAGTACTAACAGAATCAGGATTTGAATTTGTGACATTCTGACCTCATAACCATGTCCTTCACGTAAAGTACAGGATGCTGTCAAATTGGAAAAGACAATCGGGAATCAACTCCAGGTTATGTCTGTAAGACCACTTAACCAGAGGGGATACCATTTGTATAGCCCTCTAAAAGTTACAGAATATATGCACATCTATCACCCATTGGATCCCCATCATGTTCATGAGACAGACTATAGTTCATTCACTCCCAAGACTAATATCCATGTGTTTTCTCCAAAGCTGTGGAGTATATGTTCCAGGCACTCCTCTATGTAATGAAGATATAGACATGGGCCAAACACACACATGCTCCAGCGTGGCAGAACTCATCTTCCAATAGGGGTAGCAGGATAAAGAAACAGAGAGACATATGTCATATCATGATTGGTGCTGTGAAAAAAGTTCAAACCAGAAAATTGGTGATGGTGAGAGATGCTGGTTTTATTAAATGGGGTTGCGGGGGTGTCAGGGAAGATAATTCATTTAAGCAGTAAAGTAAAGGAAGTAAGAACACAAGTTTTGTAGGTACTGGAGGAAGGACATTCAACATAGAATCAAAAGCAAGAGGAGCAGGAAAACAAAAGCAAGAGGAAGCATGGCAAAATAGGAGTCTAGAGATGTCATTAAGAATAATGTCCCATCGGTTGCCCACAGTTAGCAGTTGGAGTTTTGCTTAGAGGATGTAAAGCAGGGAAGTAGCATGTTTTCATAGATTAAGTTTTTGTTTATCCCTAAGTCATGTGGCCAGCAAAACCTAGAACCAGGCCTAAAATTTAAGCCTTGGACTCCTGATACAGTATGCCTCCCTGGTTGTTATGTTATCTAGACCTGAATGTCCTTGGCATCCTGATTTTCCTGTTCCTTGCATGGTTGTCTGTGGTCTTCTGACCAAATCTTTAAAACAACTGTTGCCTATTTTCCTATGTACTTGATCCTCTGCCACTTAGCCAGTTAGCTTTAACATTGTCCCGTAGCTGTATCCGGTCCTGTTAGAAATATTCAACAAAACTCAACGAGAGTTTAAGGTTGACCATGAAAGTCAACTGAGGACATAGGCAGTTAAGAAATAATCTCTTCAATCAGAAAGTTTAGCTTTGCAGATTTTTTTAGCAACCTTCACATTAGTAGATTTTTGTCAGTACTGGCTTTTGAACTCAAGGCCTTGTGCTCACTACACAGGCACTCTACCATGCCCCCAGCCCTTTTTTTGCTGTAGTTACTTTCGGATAGGACCTTGAGTTTTTGCAAAAGGCCAGCTTTGGACTGTGATCCTCCCACCTCCACCTCCCTCATAGCTGGGATAACAGGTGTGAACCATGGTGCCCAACTTATTTGTTGAGTTTGGGGCGGGGGGAGTCTCACTAACTTTTTGCCCAGGCTGGTCTCTGCCTTCCACCCAATGATACCAAGATTTTTAAAAATTAGCCAGTTGAATTTTTCTCCAAGACTATAGAAATAAAAAGATTATGAGATCGATGGTTCACTGTATTGTCTTTCTCATCCAGACCAATGTAGAATCAGGCAAAAGTTACAATGAGATATTCTAATTACTTTTTCCTTCACCATTACTATTTTCTGTATCTATAATCTCAGGTTTATTTTCTTCAAATCCAAAGCTGTTTTGTTTGTCTAGCCAAGACTGCATAGACAAACTCAGCTTGTTTGGGGAATTACAAAGTGGGGCTGTCTTGGCTACTTTTCAGTGTCAACACCCACAATATGAGTGTTTACCCCCTGTAAAGTATGAAGCAAAACAGAAATGCTCCACTCTCCCAGACCTGTACTGGCACTACAGTATTGACAGAGGTAACAGTTTAGCATGCATGACACCAGGTACACATGTGCAAAAGAAGCATGTGGCTAGATAGTCACTTGCTTGGCTTCAGCCACAGCTTAAATTTGGTGTCCTCTGAAAATGTAATATTTCAAAGGCAGAATGATTATTTCTGTTCACTTATTAAGGGATGACTAACTTGCTTTTGGCTGCACTACAAATGAATCACGGTAACAATCCCCAACTTGCGACTTCTGGTGTTCTGATGTAATGCATTTCTATTAAAAGAAGAGGAAAGAGAGTGGGTGAGAGTGAGATCATGCAAAGAGAGAACATAACACCAAGGGAGCTAGCGTAATTTATGAACTGCAGAGACCAGATCCATACACCTGGGGTGTTTTCTTGTGTGGATATCTTGGGTGAGGATTCCTTGCCAGTTAGTACCTATCCATTTACAGTTGCAGAATATAGACTCAAATCAAGACCTGGAATCTGGAGGAAATCAGTAAAGAAATCATTTGATATGGGGTGAAAATGAGATATTCCTTGAAAGCATTTTAAAGCAACTTTGATTTAGTGTCACTTGGAAGGTACTCTTTGCGGACAAATTATATAGGTTAGGAAGGCATACCAACAATTTCCCTGTTTACATTTTAAATATATACAGCTTAATTGGGAGTAGTAGCAGAAGGTGGGGTGGGAACATGAGGCAAGGGAAGGAAGGTAGCTGATAAAAAATGGTGCTATCATGCCAATAGGGGGTGACTGGAGCTCCATCCTGCATTGGACCTACAGAACCCACACCTTCTCCCAGTCTTCCATCACAGTTGAGATTACTGGGTGACTGCTTGAAGCTGCTCCCAGAGCCTAGAATCACCTTGCTTGAGCAGAGTGGCCCTCCTCCCTTCTTTTCCCTTTTTAAACAAGAAACTAAACAGAGCTGACTATATTGTATAAGATCATCTAACCCACAGGTTTTTCCTATGTTAATCACTGCTCAGGAGCAGATACTTCCTTCCAGATGCCTTCTGCACTCTCCTCTACAAGGTGTCCCGCTGTCTTCTGAGGAAGATCTGCATGTGCCAAGGAGAGGCAGAGAGGAAATTAGACTTTGGCCTGTAGTGATCGGCAGCCCATATTGGCTTTGTCCCAGGATTTGGCATAAGGGGATTAGAAAAGCCAATGCCTCCTCAGAATGGGAAATCACTCAGAGAATGAATCTTTTTTTTTTTTTAAGTAAGCCTATTTTCTTTATCCTGTTTTCTTTCTGGGTTTCATCTACTATCAGATCTGTCAATGCCCTAAAAAGAACAATGTGTTGGAAAAACATACCAGAAGTAGCTGTAATAAATCTCAAATCTAAATTTATAAAGTTAATTTAACTTTCTTTCACCCGGTGTCTCATAATATAGTTTGTGAATACACTCATCTTAAAATGATGTAGTGTTGGAACTAGAAGGGTCTTTCCTTAAAGATTAGTAGACCAGCACCTTTTTTATTACTGATAAATCTGAGACCTGAAGTCTCAGACCTGAAGGAATAGAATGACATTCATAGTCTTCTGCTTAAGGTAAGCAGCAGAAGCCATATTGGAAGCCAAAATTTCTTACTACTGCATTCCGTTGTGCCCCGTGGTCCTTTTTCTTAAGTAAGCCTGTCTTTGAAAAGTTTTATTTGGCAACTCCAGAGGCTTAAGGGAGAATAAAAAAGTCAGTAAACTCAAAATGCATCCCCTTCATTACCTGTTAATATTACCATGTAATGTTGCTCTTTGAAGACGAGATTTGGCTGCTTGAGTTATTTTTGGTTTTTTTTATTGGACCCCAGATCTCCAAGTATGGCTATCCCACAGCTTAAGCATTTCACTGCCAGTCATTTGAACCAAGTGACCTGACAAGCCTTCCTTCTTCCAAAATTTCTCACTGCTGAATTTGTGTTGGTCTAGGGCTGCTGTAGAGTTAGGCCTGATTTATAATCCTGCATCTGCCCTTTACTTACTGAGTCATCCTAGATGAGTTATTAAAATTTTTCAAGCCTCAACTGCTCCAACCATAAAGTGGGGGTAATAATTTAATCATTTTCCATAGAGTCTTCATATTGAATAAGTTTTTAAACTGTTAAAAAAGTACTTAGCAGACTAGTTGCTGTTACTATTATCATTCTTAACTTGAAAAGTGATGCTAACAACCTCAGTAGTATGTTCAAAGCCTTAGAATGAATCTCAATTTAACATTCAATTCTAGTCTCTTTGTCAACAAATACAATAAGAGTAAAATATCATAATCAGGACTGACACTGGATTGGATTTTATTAATACAAAGAACTTAATGTTGTCTACTGTTAGAATATTCCTACTGTTTTGTACATTGTATCTCATGTGATTTTTCCATGCACGAGTACAAGCACATTAAATTCAGGGAAATTATTCTATTATTGACAGTACAGTAGATATTGGTGAGTACTTGTTGAATGTGTGTTGAGTGAATAATCTAGAATCTATACATATTATATAAATATAGATTATATGTTGATTCACATAATAGATTCAGACTATGTGAAGGTTCAGGACTATTACTTTGTTTTGTGTTCCCTTCCTTTTCTTTTTCTGAGTCTCTTACCTCATTTAATAATTAACTTGTGTGGACTGCTGTTGTACATTTGGTTAATTTGCTAAAGTATAACTTTGATCTCTGGCTTCCTTTTTCCCCTGTGAATATACCTGGTACTACCATTTAGAAAATCTTTTTCTCCCTCCTTCCTCTGTTAGGAAAGTAAATCAGGGCATTCTTAAACCATGTACAGATAGAAGTCCAGGTATTATGGTACAGTGTCTGTACCATAGCTATGTGGATGTCCACAAGTGAATTGTGTTTGTACTTGATATGTAGTCATGAGAACCAAAGATCAGAACTGAGTTATTTCAGAAGTCATAGAAAGACATCTCAATTCTCACTTTCCATGCCTTATCCCCTCACCTCTTATCCCATGGTAAAATCTCACAGACTCCCCTTGCCATGTGGGTAGCCTCAGCCATTACCCCCTACCCCCATCTGGCTGCTTTGTCACTCCATATCACCCTGTCACTCAGAAGTAAGAGTGACAACATGTTCTACCCACCACTCCATCAAAAATTCAAGACAGCTGCATCATAGCAGCTCTGATACTGAGTTAAAAAAACTTTCCTCTCAAACTTTAGTAAGGCTCTCTTTCCCCAAGAGTCCCTCCTATTTTCTGATAGTATAGGGTTAACATGGTGTCTGCTTTCTTCGATGTATGGTCCCAGGGGTTATAGCAGTAGATCCGCAGAGTTGGCAGATCACTAAATAGATTATAACTCCCCACCCAGAAGGGCATGGTCACCTTAGAGAATGGATGGAAAATATCCCCTTGCTATAATTGGGTTCAGCTCTGTGGCTTAACACCATCTTATTTGGCAATCTTTTTTCGCTTGACATATTTAGTAATCACTCTAAGGGAGATTTATTACACTGCTCATGGGAACAAACAATGCACTAAATATTACACATATGCATGCTTTCAATACCACTCCTTTTCTAGTCTATTCTGAATCTTTCTCCAAAGTCTGTCTTTTAACTCTTATCAAAACTCTCTCATGTTTAAATTACTCTCCATTCCTTTCTCTTCCAAAATAACATTTTGAAATTTTTGGTGGTTAGGGATAATTTTAACCCACATTTACTGGGCTATGATTAGAGAATGAAAGAAAACATACTTTCACAGCTTAAAACCATTGACCAACACTTTGCTGACCATTAATCCCAAAACACCAAAGCAAAATTTAGCATATGGTTACAGTTGTAAAAATATCCTGCTGAGTATCTCTGCGAGACTGTGTGTATCTATGAAAGAAATCAAAATATTTCAGCCAAATATAATACAATAAAGTGTTTTCTGAACTTGAGGACTGGCATTCATGAAGAGATGTGGGAGAAGGACACTGAGAGTCAGGATTATCACCCCAATCTCTGGGCTAACTAAAAGACTTTGACAGCTGGTGTCCCTCAGACATTTTCAAAAAAGCATAATATCCCACTCACTCAGACACATGCATAGCAAAATGTCTTAACAAATAATCCATCTAGAATAGATTTGAGAGAAAATATATCAGAATCATGCACTTGTTTACTTAACACTCAACAACGTGTCTACAACTGGCCTCATTTTGCAGACTGGCCACATTTTACACATATAAGGCAAAGACATCATGAGGATAATTAGATAGCAAGTTGAAATAGTTAAATTAGGGACCCATGTAGCTACATCTGCAATAATAACATGAGACCGTTTAAAAAGATAGCAATTAGCCCTACCACCCATATCTGCATGGCCTCCATAAGTCTCAGTTTTCTGAGCTATAAAACGAATTATTGAGAGGATTTAAGGTGTAAAACCCTGACACATGATAGTAGTTCATATAAGTCCTTACTTTCCCCCACCCCACTGCCTTATTTTCTCATCTTAGACAGTAGATTACACATACTCCTACAAATCTAAACTTGAGTACTTGTGTTTTTAGGGGCAGGGTGCTAAAAGCACAAATCCAAGAATTAGTTGCTGGCAAGAACCCTCATTCAGCTGCTGGTGTTGCCAACCTAGAGGTGTTTAGTCATGGGGTAAGCACATAGATTCTGGAGCTAGACTGCCTTAGTAGCTCAGCTCTGCATTTTATTCTGCCTGTGACCTTTGGCAAGTAACTCAGCTTCTCTGTATCTCAATTTCCTCGTCTGTAAGATGAGGCATGAGGACTAGCTTATGAAGCATGAGGACTTGCTTAATACTTTTTTGTAAGTATTAAGCAAGCTAATCTGTCTAAAGGGCCTAGAACTGTGCTTGACATATAAGTAGCAGCTTTTAAATTAGTGCTTGTATTCTCAGATGGCAGGCATACAGTATCTGGGCATGGCAAATATAACACGGGACAGGTATGTAGAATAAATCCCATTGTACTCCTTTAACATGATTCCCATGTATTCCAGCCAGGCTCTTACAATTATAGCAACCTTTCTATATATGCAGATAAGGAATGCCAGAGAATAGCAGCCCTGCTAATTGGCAGCAAGGAACTGGCCTGCAAAGGACTCTGCATTTAAAATTGCATCTTAGTGTACTTTTTACCTCATGTTGTCTAAATGAAGACTAAACAAGGCAACTATATAATATTTTCAAACATTATAGACCAATTTGATAACAAATATCATATAGAAACAATGATGGTGCTTTAATGCAGCACTTATCAAACTTTAGCCACATTCGAATGGCCTGGAGCTTGTGGAAACCCAAATTCCGAGGCTCTACCCCAGAAATACTGATTTGCCAGGTCTGGAGTAGAGCCTAGGAAGTTTCGTTTTTTGATAGGCTCTCAAGTTTGGGCTGTTGCTGCTTGTCCAGGGCCCACACAGTGTGAAAACCACTGGTCAGATGATGTTTTGCATCCCCACTACCTATTTCCGACCTAAGGTTTCATTTAAACTCTTTGGCTTAGTGATGGAATGAGTGATTTTCCCCTCCCCCCAAAAAGAAACAATTGAGCCCCCAAGATAATGTTACTTATTAATGTTTAATTTTTGATAATAAACATTGTCATTTTTTCCCCATAGTTGCATACTGCTGTGACCAAGATCCAGGTTCCAAGACCTGGTTTTAATTACACGTTTGCCCACATATGTATCCTGAATAATGATAAGACATGCATCGTGGATGACATAGTGCACGTCCTGGAAGAACTAAAGAATGCACGGGCCACCAATCGGACCAATTTTGCTATCACGTACCCGATCACTCACTTAAAGGATGGGAGGGCCGTGTACAATGGACACCAACTTGGGGGAGTCACTGTACACAGCAAGGATCGGGTGAAATCTGCAGAGGCCATTCAGCTCACCTACTACCTGCAGTCAATCAACAGTCTCAATGACATGGTGGCTGAGAGGTGGGAGTCCAGCTTCTGTGACACTGTCAGACTGTTCCAGGAATCCAACAGCAAAGTCAAAATGTACCCTTATACGTCTTCGTCACTAAGAGAAGATTTCCAGAAGACCAGCCGTGTGTCAGAGCGTTACCTGGTCACCAGCCTGATCCTGGTGGTCACCATGGCCATCCTCTGCTGCTCTATGCAGGACTGCGTCCGCAGCAAACCCTGGCTAGGCCTGCTCGGGTTGGTAACCATAAGCCTAGCCACTCTCACTGCAGCTGGAATCATCAATCTCACTGGTGGCAAATACAATTCCACCTTCCTGGGAGTCCCTTTCGTCATGCTAGGTAATTACTGCCCTTCATTTTTCTATTTTTTTTCCAGTTGATGGTAGTAATTGGGTTCCTAAATGGCCAGGAATAGCCATTTAACAACTGTTTCATTTATAATGTCTTCATTTTGTCCCAAAATCCTGAGACCAGTTCTGTAAACTGCTGGTCATCAGCATGAAGCAAACTAATCTGGTAAATATGCCAGAAATCCAAAGACTTGGGTTCCAGCCCTACTTTTTCATTAAGTAGCTATGTAGTATTTAGCAGATAATAATCTTCTCTGTGCCCCAATATCTTAGGTTGGGTTGCCCAGAAACAGATTCTGAGACAAGGATTCAGATTCAAGTAGTTTATTTGGGAGGTGAACAGAGAAAGCCCAGTATGGGAGTGAGGAAGTGAAACAGGAAGGCAGATAGTTCAGAATCTATTGATGATTGGGATCGGGTTACTACTGTGGGCACCTGGAGTCTTTTGGAAGAACTGGTAGAACACACTTCAGAGAGGTCCTCCCTGAGGGGTGAGCAAACTAGGTTATTTACCCAGAAACCCTGTGTGTGATTCACTGGGGGCTGCTTTTTGAGGTAATTAATTCCTCATCACTTTCCAGGGAAGACTGAGCGCAGCCCCATAGCCAGAGAAAGCCCCCAAGTGACTTTGTAGTAAGAAGCCATTAATGAGCTCAAGAATGGTGAATGGGAGGGCGGTTGGGATAGACACTGATAGTGTCTGCTACCCCCAGTTTCCCCACCTTATGGATAGTATGAGCATCACACAAAAGAACATGATAAATGTACAAGAACTGTGAAAGTGACATGTGAGATGTCATAGGAAAGTATCTTTTTTCCTGTTCTTGATATGAACTCAGAAGACTGTTTTAAAGTTGTGGTAATGATGTTTTCACTCGGGGTAGGGGGCTCAGAATTCCCTAACAGAGATAATGGTCAAAACAAAGCCACAGTGAGTGCTCTGCCCACCCAGCAACAAAGATGACATGCCCAGCACACTTGGTTCCTATGAGCCATGGATTCAAGCAGTTAACTTTCCCCCTTTTGTAGCAACTTCTCTTCAATTCCTTTAGCAAAATTAAAATGTCATTTGGAGTCAGATACTAACATTACAAATGAAGTGGCATTGTTTTGTTGAATGAGAAATATTCATTAGTATGCCTATATCCTGTTTAAGAGTAGTAGAAAATAAGAGAATTTCCTCAGGAAATTTGAGCTGCATGCACTATGATTAAATGATAAGCAGGGCTGGTAGGGCTGCAAGACCATAGAATTACATTCTGCCCTAAGTGCTCTGTGGCCCGAGGTAATTGAGACCTAGTCAATAAACATATACAAGTAGCTTTTGTGAAAAGTGGGGCACTGTGGAGAGACAAAGCAGTCTGAGAATTTGCTAGATTGGTTTACTTGTCTCTGCCTAAAACAAAAGTGAAGGAAGCTGCTGTGTACTTCTTCCTGAATTCAGTCTGTTAAGAAGACAGCAGAACTTGCTTCTCTAAAATAACCCCGACCATGTGGATTGATTGTGGAATACAGGGTGGTTCCTTGATGAGTGAATAGGGCTGAGTATTAGTAGCTTCCACAGAGACTTGAGTCAAGGTTTAAATTAAGATGTTTTGCTCATGATTAGTCACATGCTTGAGTGTTTGGGGGATTTTTTTTTTTTTTTAGCTTTTCACTTTAAAAATAGTGTTTTTGTTGTTGCTTTTGCAGGAGAAAGAAAAACAAGAATATGAAGAGGGTGGGAAACTGAAGTGAGGCAGTAAGGTTCTTAAGGTGAGGGAAAAAGAATGTAGGAGCTAGAAAAAAGGACTATCAGTGCTGGCTTTATGACACTGCAGAGTGCCACCAGTGAGGTCAAAGCATGTTACAATATTTAAAGCTTCTTAAAATTAATTGTACTAAGTAAAATAAAATTATAATATTTAAAGCTTCATAGAATCAATTTTAAGTATAACAAAGTAGCAATATTCAAAACTCTTTAAGTTCACCAGACAAAATGAAGATAAAATATTCAAACTTCTTAACATTAATTTTATTAAATAAAAATACAATATTTAATACTTCTTAAAATTTGTCTTTGTACTTTTTAAAGAAGTTTTAAATGTTGTAAGAAAAACTCAACACAAAAAATATGGCAGAAAGTATTGGCACAGGGAAGGATGTAAGAGATGATCAGATGGAACGATGCTGTTAGCAGGAAAGTGTCTTTAAAAAACAATTCCAAAAATAGCAAGTAGTTCCACAACTCCACAGAAACCAGTATCACTGAACTTTACGTCAGAGTTCAATTCAGAAAAATCGGGCATTTGCAGTGAAAGAGAACAAGCACTGCAGGTGCCCAATACTCCCTTGTTTGCAATTTGTGAGAAATGTTACGTGCATTGATTTGATGGCAGTTTTCCCTGCTGACAATCAGTGTGCAACCTTTCTGTACATTCTCAGCCCAAAGTGTTCTCAAATTACTTAGCCACAACATGAAAGGAAGCTATGAATTTTAGAAGCTAAGGCCCATTTGCAATAAATACTTTGCACGATATAATGGATGGTTAATATGCTCATAAAGCTAACAGTGCCTGGATTCAGGATGCTTGCCCTTCTGGATTTCTCAGATAAAATCTTTCTTAGAGTATGATTGTAAAATGAAATATAAGCAAGAATAGATTCGTAAAAGCTGTATTCAAGGCTAGTGTTTAGTTATGGGTTTTTTTTTTTGATGAACAGTCCTAAAATGCCAATAAATACTTGAAATCACCAAGAAGAAATGCAGTGCTAAGAGTTTTTCACTATAAGTCAATTAACTGTAATTAAATTTGCCTATCTCTACAAAATGGTTATGATTAACCTACACAGATTTAGGTAAAACTTCTTGATTTAATGTTATATAAACATAATATCAAATCAAAATAAATAATGTAAAATCAAATGAAAATATATAGCCTCATTTTGAAGGAAAAGTATCTTAGAAAATGTCTTTAGTATAGACATTTCCTTGGCTGTCAATAAGTCTATAATATGAACATTATAGATTTAAAATTCAACAAGCTAAACATTCTCAGTGTGATGCCAGTTACATAAGGCCAGATCCAGCCAAATGCCAAAATGGCAATAGATTTAGAATGGAAAATTTTAAGACCACATGTGTCAAGCAGTATTAACCTGACAAAATTCCAGAAGAGAAAAGAATTTGAACAAACTGAGAGCTCACCATAATGGGATGTGATTGTGTGTTTCTAGCCAAGATGATACATGACATCTCTGGCAATAAGAATATATCCTACACAGATGAATCATTTTGGAAATGATGTAAGCATAGATACATCATGATTTAGAATGTTTTTAATCAGTGTCATGCATATTAGACAATCCCACTTCTGCCAAAACCTCTGTACAAGTGAGTCAGAACAGTATATTTGGAGCCGAAATCCTAAAAGGTCTACAGTATTATAAATGCTCATTGACATATTTAGTTACTCTAATTTGGGGAATAGTTTCATTCTATACCTCTTATCATACATAAAACAAACTGTATTGATATCAGGTAGTGAGGTACTTGAATTGCCATTTGTAAGCATCATTTTAATCTGTTGGAATTTCCTGTAAAGGATGAGGGTTTACACCACTGTTCTCCAGTTAGGTATGATTTAAGATATTGACATAGGTTTTGTATGTGCAAACTCTCCTTATGGGCTTAATATTTCCACAGTTTTGCTGATCAGACATAAATCAATAAAGGAATGGAATATTGGAAAATATAGATAGAACAGAACAAAAGTTTTCTTCCTTGTGCATATGGGAAATTATTGCTTCATGTACATCATTTGCAGCTAAAGCAAGAAAATTGAAGTCATGGTAAAAGATAGTATGAGTATTAGTTTCTATGTGGTAATCTAATTTGTAAGGTCCACTTTACCTTTATCAAGATACAAGAATACTGGAGATTGGATGAGATGAAACATATTCTACAAGGCCTGTTTCAAACATTTGTAAATTTTGAGGAAGTCAAATGCCAAATCCAGGGTGCTTGCTTCCTTCTGAATTATCCAAGCAGGTCACTCAGATTCAAAGATGTGAAAGGAAGAAAAGATGTAGATTAAGTGCTAGGCAGGGAAAAACAGCACAGAAGTTTGGCTTCTTTCAGCTACATATTCTAAGATTATCTGCATTTTTTTTGCGAAAATCAGAAAATCAGGTTTAGTTCTCCAAGAATTTATTCTCATCTGACGCCACTTGAAATATGATACAGTAATATGGAGCTCACAAAAAGAGGTATATTAAATTGTGCAAGAAATTTAGTTCCAACTGAAAAATTGGTACTCTTAATTATTTTTACTCTAAAGTTAAGCAAACCTGAAAGATTTTTGTATTCTGATATATTCTCAAAGTCATGAGAAACATGAAGTAAAAGTCAGCCAGATAATAATAAAGTTCAAACCATATGAAATTGCCAATATCTAACCATTTTTACCTAGAAAATTAATACCAATATTTAAGCATTTTCAAGCTACGAAAATGGTAGTTTCATATGGCTCAACTTAATACATTATTGTGGAAATCCATTATTTGCAACAACATGATAATCTACAAGACAGAGTTGAGTATATTAAAGTGCTGTGGAAATAGTTGGCATATGCATAAAATAGTAACAGGTTCAGTAGTTTCTAGAAAAAATGTGTGTAAGGGTTCTGTTCACATTTTGTGTATATTTTGTTTTAAAATGAGTGATTCCATATAATACTTTCAGTTTGTTTCTTTTTTTTGTAATGGCCCATGGTTATATGGGACTAATTTACAAAGAGATTGTATAATCTAGTTTTGTGATTAGTTTTCACCATTTTATTCTTATGCTCCACCAATTATATTATGGTGAAGGGAAGGGAGAAAAAATACTTTTGGGGGATAGAACAAAATAAGTTTTATTGTTCTGTTCCTCACCATAAACTAAGATAAGACCAGGACTGGGGTTACAGGTCCAAGAACACAGAATTCAATTAGTCAAAGAATTACAAG